CAAACCCCCCCCCCCCCCCCCCCCCCCCCTGATATTATCAGCCCCCTCCCCTCCTGATATTATCAGCCCCCCTCCTAATATTATTACAAGTTGTACAGCCCCCCTCCTAATATTATTACAAGTAGTACAGCCCCCCTCCTAATATTATTACAAGTTGTACAGCCCCCCTCCTAATATTATTACAAGTAGTACAGCCCCCCTCCTAATATTATCAGCCCCCCCCCCTGATATTATCAGCCCCCCCCCCCCCCCCCCCCCCTGATATTATCAGCCCCCCTCCTAATATTATTACAAGTAGTACAGCCCCCCTCCTAATATTATCAGCCCCCCCCCCCCCCCTGATATTATCAGCCCCCCCCCCCCTGATATTATCAGCCCCCTCCCCTCCTGATATTATCAGCCCCCCTCCTAATATTATTACAAGTAGTACAGCCCCCCTCCTAATATTATTACAAATAGTACAGCCCCCCTCCTAATATTATTACAAGTAGTACAGCCCCCCTCCTAATATTATCACAAGTAGTACAGCCCGCCTCCTAATATTATTACAAGTAGTACAGCCCCCCTCCTAATATTATTACAAATAGTACAGCCCCCCTCCTAATATTATCAGCCCCCCCCCCCTGATATTATCAGCCCCCCCCCCCCCCCTGATATTATCAGCCCCCTCCCCTCCTGATATTATCAGCCCCCCTCCTAATATTATTACAAGTAGTACAGCCCCCCTCCTAATATTATTACAAATAGTACAGCCCCCCTCCTAATATTATTACAAGTAGTACAGCCCCCCTCCTAATAGTATTACAAGTAGTACAGCCCCCCTCCTAATATTATTACAAGTAGTACAGCCCCCCTCCTAATATTATTACAAATAGTACAGCCCCCCTCCTAATATTATTACAAGTAGTACAGCCCCCCTCCTAATATTATTACAAATAGTACAGCCCCCCTCCTAATATTATTACAAGTAGTACAGCCCCCCTCCTAATATTATCAGCCCCCCCCCTGATATTATCAGCCCCCCCCCCCCTGATATTATCAGCCCCCCCCCCCCCCCCCCTGATATTATCAGCCCCCCTCCTAATATTATTACAAGTTGTACAGCCCCCCTCCTAATATTATTACAAGTTGTACAGCCCCCCTCCTAATATTATTACAAGTAGTACAGCCCCCCTCCTAATATTATTACAAGTTGTACAGCCCCCCTCCTAATATTATTACAAGTAGTACAGCCCCCCCTCCTAATATTATTACAAGTAGTACAGCCCGCCTCCTAATATTATTACAAGTAGTACAGCCCCCCTCCTAATATTATTACAAATAGTACAGCCCCCCTCCTAATATTATTACAAGTAGTACAGCCCCCCTCCTAATATTATTACAAGTAGTACAGCCCCCCTCCTAATATTATCAGCCCCCTCCCCTCCTGATATAATCAGCCGCCTCCCCTCCTGATATTATCAGCCCCCCTCCTAATATTATTACAAGTTGTACAGCCCCCCTCCTAATATTATTACAAATAGTACAGCCCCCCTCCTAATATTATTACAAGTAGTACAGCCCCCCTCCTAATATTATCAGCCCCCCTCCTAATATTATCAGCCCCCCCCCCCCCCTGATATTATCAGCCCCCCCCCCCCTTGATATTATCAGCCCCCCCTCCCCTCCTGATATTATCAGCCCCCCTCCTAATAATTTTAGCCCCCCCCCCCTCCTCCTAATATTATTACCCCCCCCCCCCCCCCCCTGGAAACACAAATATCAGGCTGGATATTATTGAGCTGATACTGAATAGTAGCAATGGGTTAATAGTATAGGAGCCCCCCCCCCCCTCCTAATAGTATAGGAGTATTGGTATTTGGTTCCTAGTTAGACACTTGATAAGCTGCGGTGTCGTTATTCTCTCTGCCACAAGTTTACTATACGTAACAGTGTAGTAGTAGTAGTACACTGTATTGTTTACTATACGTAACAGTGTAGTAGTAGTAGTACACTGTATTGTTTACTATACGTAACAGTGTAGTAGTAGTAGTACACTGTATTGTTTACTATACGTAACAGTGTAGTAGTAGTAGTACACTGTATTGTTTACTATACGTAACAGTGTAGTAGTAGTAGTACACTGTATTGACTTCGGTTACCAGGTTACCAGGTTAGATGTGGTTCATGGATATTTTTGGCAGTGCATATTTGCTCATTAGGGTGATAATTAGATTTTGCTCGCCATTTCGGCAAAAATATTGTTCTTTGAGATTCCCCTTAAAGATTGTTCTTTAAGATTATTCTTGTTTTTATAGCAGTATATGCGCTCACCACTGCTGCTGAAGCTAAATTCGGTTGAGCTATTTTTAAATTTCGAAACCTGAGCAGTGTCTAGTTGCTAGTTATATTTTCAGCAGATCAAGTTACCAACAGTGTGTGATGTATGAGCAGCATGAGTGTGGTTTCGAGACATTCGCACAAACTTACGTTTTCGTAATATTTTGTTTTGTATCTTTGT